AAATATTGCGAATATTGCGCCTCAGTTATCGACTGTAGCCTACTGAAAATAACCTCGGAGGATTTTAGTATAACTTCTAAAACTTCTAAGAGTGATCGCGCCTAAGTGTTCGTCTTGTTGCTATAGCAGATTCTTGTGTAGTGGACTATATTTTTTCTTTGCGGAAGCTAATATATATAGCTAAAATTATAAAGTTATTTGAACTTAAATTAATATTTTATGTGTGTCTATTTTATTATTATTATTATTATTATTATTATATTGTGAGTGGCCATGTAATACGCGGGGCAGTCAGTTATCGCGAAATAAATCCCTTCATAAGCAGCCAAAACGGTACTGTAGAAAAAGTATCTTCAAAAGAGCCTTTCAACTACAATAATGGAAGCTGATGAAACGAATTGTTACATTGCAAACAAGAGCATTTCTTTTCATTTTAGACTTTGAAGGAGTCGTTTCAATTCAGACCTGGAATTTCCTGATGGCGAATGAAGCAATTACAGCCCGTTATACTGTATATATATATATGCATCTTGCCCAGTGACCCCCCAACACCAGACAGTCATTATTTCCATATCGTGTTGCTCTCACGCCCACTGAGAGAGGGAGCAGAGAGCTCATCCGGTGCATTGAGGGACGTCCAGGTCCTCATCTGCGCTCTGTACAGCATCAGCACCAGCCGCTGCGTGAGAAACAAACCGAGTCGCATCCCCGCGGAGAGCAGCACCGCATGCGCTTCATTCAATCTGGAGTGTCAGATGGTGCAAGATGCACCGCTTCTTTGTCCTCCTCTACACCCGGACACAAGTTAACGCTGGAAGGGACCAATAGTAGTTGAGGGACCCGAGAAGACACGTTTCAGCTGCAGTGAAAGGCTCATACAGGACGCGCGCTTGGATTATTGTCCTCGTATCACCATCCCGTGGATTTCCTGCTTGTACAACTAAACACGCGCGCTGCGGCTTCCAGAGAAATAAAGCAAATCATTGCTGCTTAAAATGTGTTAATTCGGTTTCTTTCTCGCGAGGGAGGAGCAATGAGAGCGTAAACAACACTGGGTGGCTTTGTTTCTCAGACACGGACCCGTGGAAGATCACATTGACTTCCAGTCTTTCAGTGCTGGATTTGGAGCTGTTATTTCTCCACTAACTTAGGGAAGTGTTGTTCGTATCTCTTTGACTTTGCATTACAGCTCAATTCTACTTTTCTAACAAACACATGCAGTTTTCCTCATATCTTCTTCCTACATTGTGGAGCGCTTTTATCGGAAGGGCGTATTTGATTCGCGTCTATCGCCTTTGGAGTGAAGAAAGACCCATTTAAACCCGTTGCCTCGGCATTATCTTGTGGAGTTACAGCGACCCACGTGGAAACACGGACTCGAAGGAGGGCAAGATGGGCTGTTGCAGTGGTAGATGCACGCTGGCATTTATATGTGGCATGCAATTGGTAAGTGATAACGCTTATGTAATTTCTAAACCTGTGGTGATGGTGATAGTTCATGGATTCGAACCGGCAACCTTCCGGTTATCAGCCTAGATGCTGCTGAATTACCAAACTGCATTTCAGTCTAATAAGAAAACGGGTAAATTGGTGAACAGGGACAGTCTGATTGTAGTAAGCTTGGGTGAAAGTTCATAGGGTTTGAACCTACAGCCTTTTGGGTTACTCACCTAGGTTTTTAATCTGAATTGGTTGGAAGCCTGTGCAAGGTTATTTGATGTGATTTTATACGGTTGTGGAATTAGGTTTGGGTCAAAGAGGAGTCAGTCACTTGTAATGATGCAAAATTTGTAGTGTCTCCTAGAAGTGAACCCGAGAACTCAAGAGCCCAAGTGTCCACCTGACAAGTGGTCAGTGATACAGCATGTATGTGGCCGTGAGTAATCTTAGTGGAAATAATGTGGGGCTATATGTGGAAACCCTGCCTCGTTATATTACACGGAGGGATGATGGTGTTCATGAAGGCTGGGCTTGTGTCATTAGCCTGGGGCCACTATCATTTATGCTTATCTTCCCACTACCACGGGTCCTGACAGCCAATTAGGAGTTTTAAGTTAAAGAATTATCTTGTGGAGTTACAGCGACCCACGTGGAAACACGGACTCGAAGGAGGGCAAGATGGGCTGTTGCAGTGGTAGATGCACGCTGGCATTTATATGTGGCATGCAATTGGTAAGTGATAACGCTTATGTAATTTCTAAACCTGTGGTGATGGTGATAGTTCATGGATTCGAACCGGCAACCTTCCGGTTATCAGCCTAGATGCTGCTGAATTACCAAACTGCATTTCAGTCTAATAAGAAAACGGGTAAATTGGTGAACAGGGACAGTCTGATTGTAGTAAGCTTGGGTGAAAGTTCATAGGGTTTGAACCTACAGCCTTTTGGGTTACTCACCTAGGTTTTTAATCTGAATTGGTTGGAAGCCTGTGCAAGGTTATTTGATGTGATTTTATACGGTTGTGGAATTAGGTTTGGGTCAAAGAGGAGTCAGTCACTTGTAATGATGCAAAATTTGTAGTGTCTCCTAGAAGTGAACCCGAGAACTCAAGAGCCCAAGTGTCCACCTGACAAGTGGTCAGTGATACAGCATGTATGTGGCCGTGAGTAATCTTAGTGGAAATAATGTGGGGCTATATGTGGAAACCCTGCCTCGTTATATTACACGGAGGGATGATGGTGTTCATGAAGGCTGGGCTTGTGTCATTAGCCTGGGGCCACTATCATTTATGCTTATCTTCCCACTACCACGGGTCCTGACAGCCAATTAGGAGTTTTAAGTTAAAGAAGCTATGCCAAGTCTCATCGACCTACTAAAGCAGAAAACGATTACTTATTGCTTCTGCTAGAGCTTGAGAGGGGTTTTTTAACCGTCAGAATGTTTTCTAATCGAGTCCCATTTGAAAAGATGATTTCAGTCTGTTGTTTGTAAGAATTCACAGAACTGAGTAATTTTACTTTTCCCAGACTATCTCTGTGACACCTTTTGAATCACTCTGTAATGGATAGTGGCCAGCGACAGTCTCATCATTGCCTACCAGCTGGCATGGTGAATCAGGCGTGCGTGATAGATCACATGACAACTGGCAAGCGTGACTACACTAATCCAAATGGACGTTTGTAGGTTAATGTATCACGCAGGTCATTATCCCGAAGAATCAGCCGTAGTGGGTGATGTCACCACCTGGTGTCTGTTAATCAGACCTTACTCTAGAAGCCGGTCTTTGAGCGCAATGATGTCATAAGTGAGTCATTTTTAGCAGGCTAATGTCATAAACTCCCAAGTTACTTTTAAGCAGCTGTTGTCTTATAATGCACTTTTGTATTGTTTGGGATTAGGGTGGGTTTTGTTCTGTTTGATGACAAAACTTTGAGGGGCGTTCATGTTTTTTTTCTGACCTAAGCTCTCTTTTGTCCTCTCTGTTTCTCTGACCTTTTCCGATCCCCTTTTTCTCATGTTTGAGAGATTATTCTTATCTGAGAGAGAGTTCATTCTGAGCATAACTGAGATGCTCTCAATTGGATGCTCTTAAGGTTTGGAAACACATTCTTGAATTGCAATGTTTTGTATTTGTTCCTCTTGTCCAATTTAGAAAGTAAGAGAGAGCAACTAAATTTACTTATTAGGTAAATCCTCAGTAATGTTCTCGCTCTTCATGAGAGAAAGAAAAAGAAGGGTTAACTTACTGTATGGAAAAAAGCCTTTTAATGTCCAAAATCTAAAGTTGTGATGCCTTTGCATTTAAACTTTATTTTATCTCCATGACATGTTATTGGTTACAGGTTAACATAAATGGCAAATGCTCATATGTTGCTTGGTAACTGCCAGTAATGGTTTCATCATGGAGGTCGAGGCAATTGCCACACTCGTTATGAATTAAAAATCACTGTATATATAAACATTTTTACAATAAAACAGTAACAATAAAAAATGTTGTATGTTTCATTTAAAAGGACTTCAGATAATGTTGGTCCCTCATAGTCTTTTGCTTTAATCACATTTATTCCTGAAAGCTAATATAATCAGTAGCATAAAAGGTGGCAATAATACAGAAATTAAATATATATATATATATTAAAGCAATTATATTCCTACTTGATCTTATGTGAGAAGATATACTGAGTTGATAATTCTATATTTGTCACAACTTTCCCCAACCATTGTATGTTTTTACAACAAAAGATGGCATGAACAATTGATTGGTAGTTATGAAGAAAAATGAAGAAAAAAATTCCAGATTAAATTATTAGGGAATGAAGTCATTTGTTAGAGCGCAATATCACGTTGTTACCCTTTTCTTCTGTTGGAATGGCTGTAGAAAATGGAGCTAATGCACTCAGCTCTGCTAAATTACCAAGCAGACCTTTTTTATTGTTTAAGGTTATAACACAGATAAAATGTCCATAGTTAAAGGATTTATAAGAGTTTTCTCTCTGGTGGTTTTTGTGTCTGGCCAGTATAAATGCCTGTGGTCCAACAGACTGGCCTGGAGGCCCAACATTTTGACATGGAAGCAAAGAAAAGAATATTGTATACTCAAGGGATGTGTTTATAGTGATTGCTCAAAGATGCATTCATAGAAAGGACATCTGGTAAAATAGTTTGACTCTATTATGGCTGATGAAAAACTTGATATCCGTTGTCAAAGTGGTCCTCTTAGCTTCAGCCTTTGATAGCCTCCCCATGGACCATCTGATGCATATTGTACGCAAAGATGAATACAGCTGGTGAAATCTGCCCGTTCCAATTGGCTGCCCACAAGGGAACTTCTGGGAATCAGGCGTGCACAAGTTTTTTATCAGGCAGTCGGAAAGATTTGTTTACATGTTACCAGATTGCTGCTGATTTTGCTGTTATGAAAGGTCTGACCATGTGATTCACTCAAAAATTGCTCTAATTTCCTTGTTATCTAAGTTTTTGTTGAAATTGAAGCATCATTATTTGAATATTTTACCACTTTGTTGCATGCCAGTCTGTTGTTATGGCTGCATCGATTTCAGATTTATCTGCCCCTGCATACCCTTATCAACAACAGTTGGTCATTTTACATGTTGGTCAGAAGGCTGTCTAAGTGGGCAGTTCTTGGCCAGAATAAGCTACAATATGCAGAACATTTAGTGTTGATGTGTTTTTATAATCTGGATTGTCATAAATATTGTAAAACTATTTGCTCTGTGTCTCGGGTGCACACACAAATTAGATGAGGAGTATGCTAATTCATGTTATCTAAGTTTTTGTTGAAATTGAAGCATCATTATTTGAATATTTTACCACTTTGTTGCATGCCAGTCTGTTGTTATGGCTGCATCGATTTCAGATTTATCTGCCCCTGCATACCCTTATCAACAACAGTTGGTCATTTTACATGTTGGTCAGAAGGCTGTCTAAGTGGGCAGTTCTTGGCCAGAATAAGCTACAATATGCAGAACATTTAGTGTTGATGTGTTTTTATAATCTGGATTGTCATAAATATTGTAAAACTATTTGCTCTGTTTCTAAATGTTTTGATTGAATTAATTACATGATATGCTAATTCAAACTAATCGCAGTTAATCACACTTATCAATGTTTTCTGAAAAATTGAGTCGAATTTCCCTTAAATGTAGTTAATTCAAAGAGTTTTTTGTGGCAGAAGAGTTGAATTGACATCACAGAAAGTGGCTTTAGAAGTCAGTATATTGTTTGTTTTATTTCCTTATCATTGAAGTCTATCACAGTCCACAGCGATCTGTTCTGCAGTCGAGTTTGTCCATCTGTCCTTATTCGTTTTGTGCTGTCTGCTCTCAGTTAGTGTGATTTGGCAAGTTTCCTGTAGAATTGCATGCGACAGGGAGTATGATTAAATGTGTTCATTTTTATGCATTATTATTTTTTATTTATTTTTTATAATTAATTGTAGTAGAGTAACATGTTAAATTAATGTCCATTAAACTACTGAAGGAGAGATGCTCTATGCATTCAAGATTTATGATTTGATTTTAATCAGTGTCTCCATTTGTCAATTCAGATACATTTATGAAATCAGGTTTGGATCATGCTGTTCATCCATCTTATTGTTTTCTTATTTGTTTTTGCTTTTCTTCTGCACCTTGTACTGTCATAGGAAACAAATCATTATCAGCCACAAATGTATGTTTACTCAAATAAACCCAAGATTGATTGTTAACTCATGTTACCTTGGGAGTAAAAAAAATAAAAAAAGAGTTACTCGTTAGATTGTCGAATAACAGATTGCCCAGAGACTGATAGACACCTGTGGTTCTTGAAGTCATTTCTAAACTCTCTTGAAATATTCTACACCTGGCGCTACACATTTCTATAATTGTTTTGTTTTCTAACTGGTATGAATGTCTGCTGTCATTTTTCCTCTTGGAACAACACAAAGACAAAGGTTTAATTGTTGTTTTCCGTCATCGTAATCAGCTGTATGCAGGAGAAAGGCTTGTGCTCTTGAAATTAATTACTCTCCTGAATGCAGGTGATTTGCCAAACAAAACATTTTCTTGAGGTTAATACTGCATATTATATGTGATTTAGTTTGTCCGTTAGCATGTAAAAGTGCTGCGACAACTCTCATTGTTTTGTTTTTTCTGAATTAGAAGTAAACAGACTTCTAGCGCACAGACGGAAAGCACTTCGAACAGACCCTTTGCCAAACAAAACAATCGCATTGGCAGAATATTGTTCTAAATTGCTGTGCAATGCCTTTGCATCGTGACCTTGGTTTCCCAAAACTGACAGATGGTTTAGGAAGCCTTTTTGCATAATGAATCCAAATATTTACATATCTAATCAAAGCATTGATGCCATAACTCTACCATGTAAAAAGGATTGTTTTTGTACACCATGAATTTAAACTGGCTAATTAACATGCTTTTTTAAAAAAACAAACTTTCTCTCTTACACATCAGCACAATTAAACGACATGTGGCAAAGTTATCTTTTTCATGTAAATCACCAAAATTTTGTTGATTGCTTGGTTTTTGTTACTGCAGTGCAGTTTCATTAGTTGTTAATCTAACTCCATGAATATTAAACATCAAATATTTACATTTACTTTTATGCATTTGGAAGACATATTTAAGCGACTCACATTCAAGGTGCACATATTATCAGTTCTCGCTTTCTCTGGGAATCTAACCCAATACCTCAGCGATGCTAGCGCCATTCTC